CACCTCAGTCTCCCAAAGGCGCGGGATTACAGGCTGAGCCACCGAGCCCAGCTTCTTTTTTTTTTTGAGTTAGAATCTCACTCCATCACCCAGGCTGGAGGGCAGTGGCACATTTCCGGTCACCACAGCCTCGACCTGCCAGGCTCTGGCCATCCTTCCACCTCAGCCTTCCACACAGCTGGAACTACAGGCGCGCACCACCATGCCCGGCTAATCTTTTTTATTTACTGTGGAGATGAGGTCTTGCCAAGTTGCCCGGGCTGGTCACCAACCCGTGGGCTCAGGCAATCCTCTCACCTTGGCCTCCCAAAAGGCTGGGATGATAGGCGTGAGCCACCGTGCCTGGCTGCACGGGCATTCTTGTCCCACCTTACCCAGCCCTGTCCCACCATCCTCACCCTCCTGGCGCCTCAGTTAACTTCCTCTCCGGCCCCATTGTGCCCACAGCTGAAGGCAGCAGTGAACCTGCAGGTGGCCGCGAAGCAGGGACCTGTCTTTGGGAGTCAAGGTAATGGGAGTGTCCATCCTCTTTCCCGTGGTTCCACCCTGGGAAGGGAGTCGGCCCCCAGTGGGTGGAGTTCAACTTGCCTGGCGCTGTCTTGTGCTCTGTCCCTGTTATACCCCCCACTGTGCTGCCTTTTTTACCCAAAGTCCTCTGAGGTAGGTGGGCCAGGTGGCACTGCCTCCAGGGAGATGAATGGGTGAGGCCCAGAGATGCGAAACACTGTGCGATCACACAGGGCAGAGCCCTGACCCCTGCCCTGTCCTGCACCTGGTGTGACCTCTGGTCAGGTGAGGAACACCCCAGGTGAAGAGGTCTGAGGCAGCCCACTCTGCCTTGAGGATGCTCGCTAGAGGCACATCTGAGTACCATCCCCCATCAGGAAGATCCGCTTGGGCCACCTGTCTCCGATTCCCTCTGTCATGAGTCACTGCTGTCCAGAGATTTGCTCCATTGCTCACTACCCTGTGCATGTCAGGACGAGGACAAAGTGGCCTCGTGAGGGATAGCCTCCCCCTGGCCTTGCCCAAGGCCAAACAGCTACTCTGCCACACATTCGTTTTTGTTTTTGTTTTTTTGAGTTGGCGTCTCACTCTGACGCTCAGACTGGAGTGCAGTGGCCGCTCCTGGCCACCACAGCCTCGACCTGCCAGGCTCTGGCGATCCTTCCACCGCAGCCTTTCAAGTAGCTGGAACTACAGGCGCGCACTACCACGCCCGGCTAATTTTTGATTTATCGTGGAGATGAGGTCTCGCCAAGTTGCCCAGGCGGGTCTTGAACCCACGGGCTCAGGCAATCCACTCACCTTGGCCTCCCAAAGCGCTGGGATTACAGGCTGAGCCACCGAGCCCGGCCTCGTTTTTTTACTACGCTCAGTGGCTAGCTAATCTTCGTGACCTTGAGGATGACTTTGGGTTTTGGAACAGCCCCAGGTCATTTTGGGGGCCAAGCCCGGCAAGTCAGTTGGGAGGTCAAGATGGGCCACACCACAAGGTTGTGAAGAAAGCCATCAGGGGTTGAGGATGGCTTTCTCCTGGGGCTTCAAGGCTGGCTCTGAGGATCCTTCCTCAGAGAGGTTCCAGCGACATGCCTCCAGCCTGTTTCTCTGAACTCTCCTCGGCTCCCTGCTGTGTATGACCTCTGGTTCTCTCCTTTTCCTTCCAGAGCAAGAGGCACAGCCCAGAGTGGTGAGTGACCCTCCATCTCCACTTCACGTCCCAGGGCTCTGGCTAGACGTTCCCAGGGCAGAGTGAGGAACTAGGGAATGTCCGAAACCAGGGGAAGGGCCCAGAGTAGAGACCCTCCCCTTTACCACAGGCCCCTGGCAGGTGTAAGCCTCTGTCCTGAGGGTGCTGTCCAGGGCGCCTCCTCACAGTCTCTGAGAGTCAGGGCCTGTGGACACCTCTGAAGGGGAAGGTGCTTGTGGGATGCTCCCTCCCAAACAGAGAAATCATTTCAGTATTCAAGCTGGCTACCAGAAAGAGGGCCACTTTTTTTTTTGAGTCGGAGTCTCACTCTGTCACCCAGGTTGGAGGGCAGTGGCATGCTCCCCACCACCGCAGCCTCGACCTGCTGGGCTCAGGAGATCCTTCTGCCTCAACCTTCCAAGTAGCTAGAACTATAAGCGTGCACCACCACGCCCGGCTAATTTTTTAATTTATTGTAAAGATGAGGTCTCGCCAAGTTGCCCAGGCGGGTCTTGAACCCTCGGGCTCAGGCAGTCCTCTCGCCTAGGCCTCCCAAAGTGCTGGGATTATAGGCATGAGCCACCATGCCTGTTCTGAGGACCACCTCTTAAGGAGGGCGTGAGGACTGGGTGCTGTGGCTCAAGCCTGTAATCCCAGCACTTGGGGGGGCCAAGGCAAGTGGATTGCCTGAGATCAGGGGTTCGAGACCACCCTTGGTAGCTTGACAAGACTTCACCTCTACAATAAATCAAAAAATTAGTCGGGCATGGTGGTACACGCCTGTAGTTCCAGCTACTTGGAAGGCTGAAGCGGAAGGATCGCCAGAGCCCAGCAGGTCAAGGCTGTGGTGGCCGGGAGCGGCCACTGCACTCCAGTCTGGGCGACAGAGTGAGACTCCAACTCAAAAAAAAAAAAAAAAAAGGAAGTGAGAAGCCCAGAGCCACCTCCCATCCATGGCTCCTTCCCCCACCTCCCTCCCCCTACCACTTGGGGCAGAGGCCCCCTGACCTAAAATGAATTCCAGGGCTGGTCAAGCCATGGTCCCACACAGCGCTCCCTAACCCTGCCTTAGGTGCCAGGCCTTTCAAAGGAACCTGGTGAGGACATCTACCTTGAGTGTGAGCCTGACCCAGGTGAGCACTCCCATGGCTCCACCCCCATCCCCCCACCCCCACCCGCGGAGGCCTGCAGCTGCCCAAAGAGACACACTCTCCTTGTTCCAGCTTCTTCCTTTGCCTCCTCTCACCCCCTTCCAAAACACATGTGCCTTCAGCTGCCCCATAGACGCCCACACCCTGCCCTTGGTCTAAGTTGACCCCTGCTGTGTCTGCGAGGGAGGTGCCCCCGCTTCGAGCAAGGCTGGGGGGGCCTCCCAGCTGCCGCCGGACAGCATCTCCCTCAGTTGGAAGCACGCCCAGAAAGCCCAGGCTGCCCAGCTGTTCCCAGCCCCTCCCTGGCCAGCATGGAGTTCCCTGTCCGATGCTCAGCCAAGCCCAACCTGCCCTCTCTGTTTCAGTCCTGGCCTTGACCCAGTCTCTGAGCTCCCAAGTCCTGGTGCCTTCAGTCTCTCTGCCAAGGGCTTCGGTGGGGCCCAGGTGAGTGCCTTGCTAGGCGCGCGCGCGCGCGCGTGTGTGTGTGTGTGTGTGTGTGTGTGTGTGTGTGTGTGTGTGAGAGAGAGAGAGAGAGAGAGAGAGAGAGAGAGAGAGCATGCGCCTCACGCCACCCCCACAACTCAGGCTTCCCCAGCCCTGACCCTGGGATGGGATCTCCTTACACTACTTGGCATTGGTGGCAGGGACAACTCGGGATGCCAGGTTCACTGGGCTCTTTCTCTTGAAAAAGACCAAGTCCCTGAGCGCTGTCCCCCGATTTGCTCCCCACAGGCCCACCATAGCCCCCCAGGAGATTCGAAATGTAAGAGGCCAGTGTTCCAGAAAGAAGGGAGGGCGAGAGGGAGGGGGACTAAGGGTGGGACCTTAGGACTCCTCTGACCAGACCTCCTGTGTCCTAGGGAGCAGCAGATGCCGCCTCTCGAGGTGAGTACAGGCAGACCCAGAGGCACTGAGTTGTCTCAGTTGATCGTTCAGTTACAGATAGAACTTCTTGTTCTGTTCTTTACCCTCTTCTCACTGCTGCATTTGACTAGTCTTAAAAAAAAAAGCCATGCCGGGCTCGGTGGCTCAGCCTATAATCCCGCACCTTTGGGAGGCTGAGGTGAGTGGATTGCCTGAGCCCACGGGTTCGAGACCCCCCTGGGCAATTTGGCGAGACCTCATCTCTACAATAAAATCAAAAAACCCACTGGGCGTGGTAGCGCATGCCTGTAATTCCGGCTACTCCGAAGGCTGAGGCGGAAGGATCACCAGAGCCCAGCAGGTCGAGGCTGCGGTGGCCGGGAGCGGCCACTGCACTCCAGTCTGGGCGACAGAGTGAGACTCCAACTCAAAAAAAAAAGCCGAGTGCAAGTGCAGACATCTCCAGCAAGAACGTAGAAAGCCCTGCTGGGGCCTGCTCCAGCCCCTTGTAGGCCACAGACCCCCTCCTGGTCCTCAAGGCCCTTTTTGCGGAGGGGGCCCCTGCAGCTCTGACTCCGGGTGAGATCAAGCTTGAGGGGACCCCCTCGGGCATCCCAGCACTTTGGGAGGCTGAGACGAGAGGACTGCCAGAGCTCAGGGGCTTGAGACCAGCCTGGGCAAATTGGTGAGACCTTGTCTGTACCACAAATCAAAGAATTAGCCGGGCATGGTGGCATGCGCCTGTGGTTCCGGCTACTTGGGAGGCCGAGGAGGAAGGATCACGGGAGCCCAGCAGGTTGAGGCTGCGGTGGCCGGGAGCGTGCCACTGCACTCCAGACTGGGCGACAGAGTGAGACTCTGACTCAAAAAAATAAAAATAAAAATAAATAAATAGGGATGCTCCCAGTGTGTGCCCCAAGATTACTCCTCATGCTGATGGGTCCTACCAGAGCACTGGACCTGGGGAGGTGGAGGAAGCACTGGTTGCCACCCCAGAACTTCCTTTGCCAACCCCCAAGCCAAGCCCAGCTCTATAACCTGTGTCTTCCAGCAGGAAGGAGACCATCTCTTTCCTCCGTAGCCCACGCTGGGAGTGTGTCAGCTGCTGAGGTGAGGAGGGGACTGCAAGCAGTTGCAGGGACAGGGGACCCAGGAACCCTCTTGGGCTGAGGCAGGTACCACCGCCAGGACACGTACTGATCACATGTGCGGGACCACGCCGCACGCCAGGCAGGGCCACCTCCTTGTTCTGTTTGCGGGACTCAGAAAAGGAAAGGCAGATGTGAGCACAAAGAGCTTTGCCCCGGGGTTCTGGGCTCCCCACGCCTGACCCAGCGCACTGGCACTTCTCTGAGCAGTCGTATGTATGCACAGGACGGCAGCCTGCTGGCTCAACCTTGGTACTCGGGGAACTGTGACCGCCATGCCGTCGAGAGCACCCTGCTCCGCTTACAGAAGGTGGGCAGCCGAGACCCCGGCCTCCTCTGCAACCTCACAGGCTGCGGCTGGCTGAGCAGTGGGGAGTAGGAAGGCCACCGTGGGTCCAGGCTGGGGGTGGGGTGGGCAGCTCGAAACCAGGCTTGACGGCTGGGGTCTCCTTCCTAGGACGGGGCCTACACCGTGCGCCCCAGCTCAGGGCCTCACAGCGCTCAGCCCCTCACCCTGGCCGTGCTGCTCCGAGGCCGCGTGTTCAACATTCCCATCCGACGGCTGCATGGCGGGCAGCACTATGCCCTGGGCAGGGAAGGCAAGAACCACGAGGAGGTGGGTGCTGCAGCTGGCAGGGCCTGACGGCAAGGAGGGCATGGCAGAGCATACCCTGGGCTCACCAAGAGCGTCTGTCTCGAGAAAAGCCCTAGCCCTAACCCTAACCCTTCTGGGTTGGTGGAAATAACAGAGGCCAGAGCCCTGAACGCCTTCCCGGACCCCGGCACGCACTCGCCTCCCACGGCTCCTCTGCACAGGTTGAGACGGGGGCTATGATACCCATGATGAATCCAGCGGGGCAGAGGGCAGCGCCTAGGTAGTCGAGACTCCTGTCTACCTACCCTAGGACTCAACCGTTCACCCAGCTTTGGCTGGAGTGCAAACTGGAGACAGCCACCCGCCGCTGAGCTCCCCGTGCTGGAGGACCAGGGCGGAGACATGGCCCTGGAGTTGTTTGGGTCTAGCCTCGGAAATAGGAGTCTGGCCAGCAGCGCACCCAGGGGTACAGTCTCAGAGAGTTGCTTGAGGCTTGGAATAGAGCAGCAAACAGGAAGCTATCTAGATAAAGGCCCCTTGGCAGAACCCTATGGTCGCCTCAGGAAGTGGCTCCCGGTACAAGCCTCCAGGGACTCATGGCCACTTGCTGTCCCGCGCAGCTCTTCCCCTCTGTGGTCGCCATGGTCCAGCACTACGCACAGCACCCCCTACCCCTGGTGGACAGACACAGCGGCAGCCGGGGACTCACCTGCCTGCTCTTCCCGACCAAGCCCTGAGGCCACAGCGACCACATGCCCACCTCTGGCCCTGCTGTTTGCTCTTGCCCGGCTCCACCTTGGGCTGGCTTCCTCTCTCCTTCCCCACTTCCTGCCCTAGTACCTGCAGGCCCCGTGGAGAGGCACTCGGAAAGTTGCCAGAGAGTGGAAGGGTCCTGGAGACCCCACCCCACGTTTGCCCAACGCTGACTTCTCCAAGGCTGACACCCCCTTCCTGGGCTCCAGGAATAGTGGTGTCCTTGGTACTCGGGGAACTGTGTGCCCAGTCCTCTCACGCCACTCTGACGAAGGCACGGTGGTGGCCTCGAGGGGTCAAGGAACAGCACGGGCCCTGCTTGGACAGCAGAGTTCTCTCGCACTCTGGGGGCTTAGCACACCCTGCTGGTTGGCTGCACATGGTTGGCTTTCAATAAACATTTGTTGAATGGATTCCTGAATCTGCTTCGTGAAGGAGAGGTGGCCTGCAGTAGGGACAGTTCTCAGGTGTCTGGCCCACAGCTACGGAGCTGTGGTGGGCTCGGCCAGCGCATAAAAGGCCAGCCCCCTGAGTGGGGCTTTTGCCTTTCGGTGGTGTGTGCCAAGGCCCAGAGAGGCAGGCGGGTGGCTGAGTTTTGCTTTATTTTGTTTGTGGGGGTTGGGGTGGGGGAGGGAGGGGGCCTCAGGGCGCCTCTGACACCCTATGAAACGGTGAGAATGGAGTCCATTACCTAGGACAGTGCTCCCTGGGAGAGAGACAGCCTGATTTTGAGCACTCGGTGTTGTCGGGAGCAGGGGAGAGGGTGGGACCCCAGGGAGCAACTGGGTCTGGATCAGAAGCTGGGGAAGGCTGACAGCGGCGCTCAGAGAGGACAGGGTGTGCCCACGGATGCGGTGTCAAGAGAGTTGCTGGAGCTGGCGGGGCTGGAGACTAGGGGTGGTGGCGGGGGGCGGGGAGGTCCGGGTCCGAGGCGGCCAGGCAGGGTTGCAAGGCAGGTGGGGCCCGAGACAGGCCGGCAGCGGGCAGGCAGGGAGTCCTGCCGGGGCGGGGCGGGGCTG